TGGAAACATGAAATATAGACAGTTAAATCTTTTTATAAATAAGAAAGCAAAATAAACCACCGAAGAGCAACAATTATATATAATAAATATATATACGCTTATGATATATAGTATATAATCATATAGTAGAAGTAAGACATAGTGAACGTTGATGTGATTTAATTTTGAAAGAAGCGTACAGGAAGTTTTATTCCTGACAGGAAGTAGCTTTAAGCCAGTTCCGGTGACCGGGCGAGGGGGCCCCCGGGGCTTTCGTCTTTTTGAGGAAACGGTAGACAAGAGAGAGTCGGTTCATCCACCAGAGAAGAGAAGAAAGGTCCACAGACAACTCGACCGAAGGAACAACAACCGAACAACTAAACTCCCAACGACGTACATAATAACAATAAATAACAACAACAACAACAACAACAAACAACAAGAAGAATGGTGGCCAAACAATAGGATCCCCAGTGGGCGGAACGACGAAAACACAGCAAGGAACATCAAACTCCCAGAGAGAAACGTGGCGCAAAATCAACAACCGTGAGTTCCAACACACAAGCAAAACCACAGACACATATTATATTATATATATATTATTATATTATTCATATAAATCCCTCTGTTTTGGTTCATGTTGTATTTTAAATATGTGTTCCTGTATGTTTGTTATTGTGAGTTTATTAAAAGAAGGAAACAACACTAATATCTGGAATTCATTTTATTATACAGTTATTAGTATTTTATTGTTTTATATTTATTATTTTATAATGTATTGGCTCCTTTGTTGTGCCTCTGAAAAGCTTTGTGAAAAGCACTATACATTTTACTTACTGTATTTTGGTTGTATTTGTTATTGTATTGTTGTAAGTTCATTTTGTTGATAAAGACAAGAAACAAAAATGACTTTAATGTTAACATTAATAGTGATTATTTTTAATGTAAAGACTCAAAGATTCATTTAATTGTACATGTTGTGATTTTAATTGTAAAATATATTTTCCCAAATGTACATTTTGGACTATATATTTCAGTCTGTCTTTATAGATGTATTTGTTTAAACAGTTTAAATTAATTCTGTATTTAATATTTAACATACTATTGTATTTGTAAACCACAGCACGCTTTTACTTTGAAACCGGAAGTGACCTCCCCGTCGGTTGCTCTTTGTTAGCTTCCCGCCGTTGTCCAACTCAACCCAAACTTCTAACAGGTATAAAAACTATATTTTTATTATTCTTTGAAATAATGTGTTTTATTTTTGATTTAAAACGTCGCCGTTTATGTCAGAATCATTAATTAATAATAAAGTTTGTTTTTAAAACCGTCGTTGGAGAAAAGGACCGATTGTATGCTGATGTGGCACTGCACGTCCCGCCTCCTCGACCTCTTACGCATTTCCGGGAGACAGCTTTCTTCTTCCGGCACACGTAAACATGGCGCCCCCCACCCCGCTGTTAGCAGGTGGGTAATTCCACTAACTTTGTTGTTGTTGTTGTTTGTTTATCATATTTACACCGACACGGTGTCCAACCACCGCGGTTACCGGATGGAAGTCAAACATCAGCCGCTCTGACGTCAGCGAGCCCGTTAATCACCGTTGTTTGAGGGGAAGAAATAACACGCCGAACTCTGTTTAATACCGCGGGTCTTTTTATTGGTTCGTGTTTTGACAAATTCATGTACGTTTTAAAAGTAAACTACATACTACAGTGAAATCAACAGAGTCTTGGGATTGATTCGGCTTCAATAAAACCAATATGTATCGATCCAATAACACTAATCATCTTGTAGAAGTTGATCACGCTGTCGGCGCGCTCTGTCTCAGGATGGTGGAAAAAAGTGATGAGCTGCACATAAACAGTTAAAAGCCAGGAGAGTTATGGCAGTCTGAGATATTGTATATCTGCCGAATCAAAGAGTCACACTTGTTGCTACAGGAAATATATTCATTCTGCTTTTACATCAGAGGCTCCTCGGCCGGTAGTCATGGATACTTTAAATTGGTAGATTTCCTGATGGAATTCGGCCTTGAGACCTCAGCGCTCAACACGCCTGATAAGCCTCCTCGAGCCAGACTCCGTTAGAAAATGAGCTGTTTTAATTAGTTTGACTTCAATCAACACAATGTTTTATTGAAATAAAAGAATTCTGTAGGTTATTGATTGGACTGATTGAATCACTGTCAGTGACATAATCAATCACTGATTGATATATCTTTGGAAAATGTTTGTTTTCTGATTAGTAAAAAACCTAAACTATTGATTTGTTTTAGTTCTGTAATTAATTATTAATCAATCCCAAAGTGACTGAACTCAAGAATATAAGGAATATATAATCAATGAAGTTCTTATTGATGCTGCTGACACACTAACTGATAACACATACAATATATTTAACTGGAATATAACAACTAATCAACAACAATAATAATAGTAATAAACAGAATCAGTGTCCACATTGATTGATTGATTGATTGATTGATTGTGTTCTATCAATCAGTGCGTGGATCAGACTGTACCACTCTGCTCAACGGTCCTCCAACCTGTGAACAACACTCAGCCTTCAACAGGTAAACACTCCTCCTCCTCCTCACTCTCTCTCTCATCTCTCCTCCTCAATTCAATCAAATGACTTGTATGCATGAAAGTTTAAAAAACAATATTGCCAAAGCAAAGTATTCAAATACAATAAATCAAAGATATATACATTATTATTATATGAACATTATATTAGTTATACAATGTCTCTCTCTGTCTCTCTCTGTCTCTCTCTGTCTCTCTCTCTCTCTCTCTCTCTCTCTTTCTCCCCCAACTGGTCAAGGCAGA